TGATGACTCCCATCACTTTCCCCTTCTCGAAAGCAACTTTGAAGACCAAGACATGAGTGTGGAGGAGCAAGAGAATCCCTTCTATGACCTTGCATGGCATCTTGCCCTCAAATTCGTGCTTGGACATGAATAGGAAGGAGAAAGAAGAGATTGAAGTGAGGGAAGTATGCATTGAAGAAGGAGAAGATCTTGATTGTTCTTAAGGGGAAGAACACATTGAAGAAGAAGGAAGGGAGGTTGAAGAGGAAGAAAAAGAAGAAAAAAAGGTGCAAGTGGAGTTCAAGATGAGGACAAGGTTGAGGTGGATGAAGCATCCACAAGTTACGAGGGCTATGAAAGCTTTCCCCCAACCTCGACGCGCTTTTGGAGAAGGACCCATTTGCGGCTCTTTGCCAAGCCAAGGCCAAATCATTGGCGATCCCTCTTGGTGGATGCGATGGTGGTAAATCGATGATGCATTACATGGTGTGGGGCAAAGAGAAGAAGGAAGAAGGAAAGAAGAAGAGGTCTCGTGGGTGGAGCCTCAAAGCCACTCAAGTTCACGAGCCCTCAATCATGGACTCGTCCAATGCTCGTGATTTGAGACATCACCTCACTGACGAGAACCTCAACTTCAAGGAGGTTCTAGGGTGGACCGAAACTTGAGGAGCAACCGTCAGGCTCACGACGTTAAAGAAGCGCTTGGTGGGAGGCAACCCATCTAACATCGGTTTGTTTGCTTTCCGCACCAATAAAAAGACCATTGTAGAGATTTTGGTGGTGCTTTTCCGTCTCCTTGCTCTTCCGGATCTCGCCCGACCTCCGATCCCTACCACCAACATACACATCGTATCCGGTAACATCGTTCTACCTCCTTACTTTACGCCATTGAGGGCAATGTCAAGCTTAAGTGTGGGGGGGATAGTCTATTGTGCATGTGTGTGAATGATTGGTGTAATTTTGAATGCTTGGAGCCTCGTTGCATGCCCAAATTTGAAAATTTTGAGGGCTCCAAGCAATGCTTGCATGATCAAAGTGGCTGGTTTGTGGGAGAATCTCGTGTCTATTGGCGTTAACCTTGAATTGTTGCATGTGATCGAATGCATCCTATGATGATGACTGAGAGGTGCATTAGAATAGTGCAAAGGTTTAGTTCTCATGTGTGCAAAAATGAATGGATGTCTTGACTCGATTACTTGTTGATTACAATTGCCATGCATTGTGTTTTGTGAATTTGAATAGATGGTTGGGGGACTAGGTAGCCATGTGAGTTTTGAGCCGATCGTTTTCTTCTTGTGTTCTTAGATCCCTCTTACCATGGCGAGTAACATCACAGTTGTCACTAGTAAGTATGATGGAGGCATATGATTAGTCCACACCCAAATGTTGATTGTCCCGAAATGATTTATCCACTAGTCAACCCCTTTGAGCCTTGTGACTTTGGGGGTCATTATCATTGTAGGAGCTTGTTACTTGTGAATTTAATGGTGTTGATAAAACGACTCCCATCCTTTCTTCATGTCTATACGTATGTTGTCCTTGTGTCCCGGGGCTCTAGCTTTTGAGTTCCATTGAGGTTCTACATAGGAGGATTTTGTGCGGTTCTTGCTAGGGACGAAAGTGAAAGGAAGAGTAGTGTTGGAGTGAGTTCTTAAAAAGAGAGCATTGATCGTTAAAATTACAAGTGGCAAGTGTTTAACTCTCTAGTACCCCCCTTAGGAAAAAAAAAAGAAAAAAAGAAAAGGAAAGTAGAAAGAAAGAGAAACGAAAAAGAGGTAATAAAACGAGGTCAATAAAGTAGAGAGTGCCACACAAGATTAGAAGAGTATGCTCTAACTGGGGTTTCTTGGCATGCAAGCCATTGAAACCCCCAAATAGTGTTTTAGAACTCCTTCACTACGAAGTTAAAATGTGATAGAAAGGAAGACCGAGGAGGAGCGCTGAAAGGTAGTTCATGAAGGGTGATAGGTTGGAAGGGAGAAGCAAGGTTTTGGTCGATGCTAGTGGCCATTGTTTGTAGGGAAGGTTCTTAGTAGAAACCATAGAACCTTCGGGTTTAGGGTGAAGATGTAGGACCTCATGACGTGTTTTCCACCACCCAAAAATCTTTTTCCCCATGTCCAAGTCAATTTCCAGTCATTGGAACCCGTGTCTAAGACCTCCGGACAAGTTAGTGATGACAACCGGTGAAGGGAGTGAGTGATTCATTCATGTTTTGCATGTCATATCATACCCCGGTGAGGACCTAGTTGACCATTTATTCGTTCCTTGGACTTGAAATCTATGCATGGTTAGTTGTGGTTGATGAGTGATCTTGTTAAGACTTGCATTGATTCATGAACAAGGTGGGAACTTTTTGTTTGCCCGTTTTGGTGTCCTCAAATGTCGTTTGTGGTGGATGCCGGTATCGTTTGCAACGGTTCATGCGTTGAGGTCCAATAGCCATTGAGATTCGCCACTTTGTGCCATTTGATTTGTCTCCAAGTTATCTTATTACGTTGAGAGAGTACCTTGTGTAAAATGGTTTGCTTGGGGACAAGCAAACGTCTAATTGGGGGGGGGCGGGCGGGGGGGGGGGGGGGGGGGGGGGGGGGGGGGGATTCGAGTCCAATTGTACACATTTTACCCCTCATATCTTGATCTTATGGCTTTGCATTTCATCGCACCTCGACATATTTCACGCTAGGTTGTGCTTGTTTTGATACATTTCAGGTCCTAGCACGCTTGGAAGGATCGAGGACGAGTTTTGGGACGATTGGAGGTCGAAAAGCGCAAAAAGACCGAAGAAAAGTCCAAAGTCACTGTTTGGACGCAATTGTCACGGTCGCTACTTACAAGGTGGGGAGCTCTCTTGGGTTGAATCATCCTAGGTCCGTTCTTTGGATCGATGTTGGGTATCCTCCTAGATCGATCGCCTCAACTACACTACTGTTTGGAGATGGACTCCCTCGGGAACGAACCGGAACGACGAATCGATGGATGGGTAGTGCTCTATTCAATCTAGGGTTTCGTATAATGCTAATATATCCATAATGACTAGAAATGTCGGCGATGATGGATTTAATCTTCAGGTTGGGATGTTGCTCAATTAGATGCTTGATAGCCGCAACAACCACCATGGATTTCAACTGTCGATGGCCTTGGGATGTTATGGATGACACACATGTGTGAGTGTTCATCGCACGAGTTATGACCCAATGCCCGACTCTCTTGCTCTTGATTGTCTGGACCCTAGCCTTGCATCCCTCGTGTTGATTTTGGCATCTAACTATGAGTCTCTTCGTGTCGGAATGAGTTGTGCGCCATTCAAAACTCCAAGTCATTGCTTCAGTTTCAATAGCGTGCCAGACCTCCTTCTTCATTCCAAATTGTTGGCCCTTCGTAAACCGAGTGAGTGGACCCCATACTGGCACCTCTGGTGGCTCCATCTCGGCATCAACATACCAATTTTCATTTGTAAAGTGGTTGTAGTACGGGATAGGTACCCGGTCACGAGACACCTCATCATCATTTGAGTCTAAATCATGGCCTGAATCATCGACACCTTCAAGAGGGTCGAAGTTCTCGGCACTGACTTCACCTTCCTCTTCTTCATCCTCAGGATCGCTAATTGGTCCTGGCAGGGCATCTTCCATCTGATCCAGATCATGAAAGGCACCCTCATCATCTCCGTAATGGTAGTTGTGATAACTACCACTGCCTGCATAAAAGTCATACTCGGGTTGGTACTGGTAGCCTTCTTGTTGGTTGTCATGGTACCCTTGGGCTTCTTCTTCAAATAATGGAAAGGATTGATGATGACCTCCACCTCATTCTTGATACTCATTGTAGGAATGACGATCATGGTAGCTTTGGTAGGGATGATCTTCATATAATCCCCCTCCACCGTGGATAGCAGATGTTTGGCCTGCTCCAGAATGACCTCCAGCGCCTTCAACCGGCTCGGTGTAAACGAACGTCTCTGCTATGGAAATGTTATTGGTGATAAAAAATTCAACCATGGAATCTACTTCCGACTGAGTGGTTATGAGAAATTCCTCATGCCATGTCTACCATATAGTCAACTCTCCTCGTGCCACCCGTGCAATTAACCTCAGTACAAATTCAATGGAGATCTTCAACGTTCGGTCTCGTAGCAACCTTCACTTAATAAAAATTACGATCGAAGTAACGTACTCCCTTTCTGGTCTCTTCCGTATAACCATTCCACCGTAACCCAAGCGTGAACTTTTGGAATGCCATCTGCAATAAAACAGTAACTTAATTAATATCATAAAATTTGTCAACATTAATGGCAAAGCAAACTTACAATAACAACTAATACAAAACACACTTACAACGTAAAGTTAATCGCTATAATTCATAACACAAGTCGCTAAAACAAAAACTTAAAGAAGAAAAGGAAGAGGGGGTGAAGTGTTGAATTCTGCGGGGCTGCCTTTTATAGGCAAAATCTCATTTGAAAATCACTCTACTCCCAAGCGGTTTGCACCAGACATGCAAACCCACCCTGCAATCCCTTCCATGCCGACATGTAACCTGTCGGAAAAGTGGGGACCGCAGCAAGCGTTTTCATCTATGGCAGCTAATAAATCGCGCTAGTGAGGGGCGACTTCTTGCCAACGCTAAAACCGCTTTCTCTACATGCAAATTAATTGACAACCACCTCCCTCTGCGGCGTTTCTCAGAGAATGGTGGTAGTTTTGTAATTTTTTGTGCTTGGGTGGTATTTTTGTAATTTTTGTAATTTTTTGTGCTTGGGTCAGTATGCCGAGCCAGCAGCAGCTCCAGCTCCCGATAATTAGATGACCGAGCTGAAGAATATTTTGGCGGCATTCATGACTACCAGTCAGGCAAATTTCACGAGAATGGACCAGAACATTGCCTCACTAGAGGCAGGCCAGAGGAACCAGGGTGCCATTTTGCAAGATTTTTAGAACTAGGTTGGTGCCATAGCCCGCCAAATTAATACCCGAGCCCCGGGAACTCTACCTGCCACTACCATCCCCAATCCATGGGAGCCGCACCAGCTGCTGAATGCCATCACCACCAGGAGTGGCAAGTCCACATCCGCGGTACCTGCCCAGGCTAGGAGGAAGAGCCACTGCCTGCTTCAGCACTTCCAGACGATGATGTAGAAGTGAGGGTGGAGAAGGAATCTCCTACTCCCAAGCCACAACCAGTGGTTAAGGAGCATGTACCCCAGCTTCCCATCCCCACTCGACTACATAAAGATAAGCTGGAGACTGAGTTTGCCAAGTTCATGGCAATGTTGAAGCAGCTCGATGTCAGCATACCCTTCATGGAGGCACTGTCGAAGATGCCCAAGCACGCCAAGTTCATGAAGGATCTCCTCATCAACAAGAAGAAACTTGGGGATCTTTTGACAGTGATGCTGAGCGAGGAATGTTCTGCCATCTTGCAGAACAAGCTGCCCAAAAAGCGCAAAGACCCAGAGAGTTTCACTATCCTTCTTAATATTGGCAGCATGCATGTAGGGAAGTCCTTGGCGGACCTAGGAGCTAGCATAAATGTCATGCAATATAATCTGTTTAAAAAGCTAGACCTAGGTGAACTTAGCCCTGCTAGGATGAGCATTCAGTTAGATGATCGCTCTATTGTGCATCCTAGGGGTATCATAGAGGATCTGCTTGTTAAAGTAGGCGCATTCACATATCGTGTTGATTTTTTTGTTTTGGATATAAATGAGGATGTGGATGTGCCTTTGATTTTGGGTAGACCATTTCTTGCCACCGCCAAGGCACTTATTGATGTGCATAGTGGTAAACTGATCTTGCGTGCTGGGAATGAACATGCTACTTTTTCTGTGGCTGGCCTTGATCATTGTGATATGCCTGCTGTCACACCTATGCATGCGATTTCTCACCAGGTACACGAGTCTGTCGTGTACCCCTCTGTGCATCTCGTTTTGCAGGATCCCCCTCTCACGCTTTCGCCGCCACTCCCTTCAACCTCACTTCCCAATAAAAAGCTCAAGGAGGAGTGGCGGGCGAAGCCGCAGGTGGCTAAGCCTGCATGGAAGAAAGGTGGAGACCACTATGAGCTGGTTCCACCTCCTGCACCACGACCACACTGGCCATCCGAGTACTCACTCGCCTGCATCTTGCCTGATGGCCAGGTCGAGCTGACCAATGCTGGTGGTCGCACCCATCGGGTGCACGGCCGCAATCTGAAGCTGTACCTCTAGAGCGATGTGGATCCGCTCTTAGAGGCACCTATTCCTGCACCCCACTGAGTATCAACCATGGGCGTCCAGCTAAAAGACGGTAAAGAAGCGCTTGTGGGGAGGCAACCACACCACGGTTTTAATTTCTTTCTTTTGTTTTGAGTCGGATTGTAACTGGTTTGGTTTTGGTTTGTTTTCTTTTGTTTTGGATGATGTATTATTGGGCTAACCATTGGACCTAACATATTGTGTTTGAGCTCTTCTGTTCCCCTTTAGCTGTGCTTTGTCCCTGACTGGTCCCCTCTCCAGTCCTCTTCGCTCAGACTGGTCCACTTCCAGTCTCATGTAGTCCATGCACACCGGTAACATCGTTCCCCTTATCTTTCCCTCTTCTCCATTGAGGGCAATGTCGATCTTAAGTGTGGGGGGGATGTTTCTCTTTTGACTGCATTAGATCTGTTTGTGTGCTTGGAGCCTAGTCCACTGTCCAAATTTTTAAATTTGAGGGCTCCAAGTAAGTGTTCCCATGCAAATTGCCTGCTCAGTATGCTTTGAATTGACAGTCTCTGTAGTAATGTGCAACCTAGGGAGGTAGTGTAGCACTATAGAGGATGTTGAAGTATAATATTTTTCCTATCTAGCTCTCTGCTGTGCCAGTTGATTTTGTGAATTAGTGGAGCTAGGACCGTTGAATTCATGTGATAATGGTGACTCTATGTGGATTGTGTTATGGACTCGTGTATCGAACAGGGTGCTCATGTGGAAAATGAAAAATGCAGTTGGTCCTCCATGTCAAAATCATCAAAATCTTAAACATGGGGTAAGCTCAACGTGTGCGGCACCGTTCATTGCACCAAATCGGGTTTTGGAAGAGATTTTAGTGATCCTTAGTGGGGTACTCCTATAAGGTGAGGCTAAGTGACACGCTAAAACACAACACCTAACAATGGCCAAGTGTAACCAATGAAAGGGACTGCAGTATAGTGGCACAAGTAATAAATATCGAATCCACGGGTCTCTAGAGTTACTATTACTCAGCTTCAGTTCATTATCTAGAAAACTAGATTAAGGATTGATTTATAAACTAATCTACTAACTACTCTACTAATTACAAGTTGTGAACTCACTTAGGTATGATTCCCCCTAGCTCCTCAATTAGGTCCAAGTTGCAATTACCTTTGGTTGATCTACTGTTGATTAAACTGCGGAAGATCCGACAGTAGCTTGGAATCTCTTAAGCTGACCAAGCCCTCTCAGTCCAACTACCCGGCAGGCGACTAACCTTCACCGCGATAGAAAGCTGAGGCTATGAACACAAAACTCCACTACCGGAATTGGATTCCAGTACAAAGCAGTAGATTGACTAACTCTCGTATAACCAATTCACCACCATCAATCAAGGAAGCTCTCTTAACCTAATCAGATTCTATCTATCATAGGTTAAAGCAGAAATCAAGAGAATTTGATCAAGATTCAATTGACTCAATAAATCATGCCTCAATCTATTATAATCAAACAATATAGCATCCAAAACTTCATACAAGAAAGATCCTAACACATGGAACTAGGGTTCCTCAAAACCTAAGTGAAGGGAAGTTACTCCATAGAGAAGAGAGAGACTGCAGAAATCTGACCTAGATCTTCAATCTCCATCTCCAAGCTTGATTCCCGAGCTCCAATGGCGAAGAAATCCTCCAAAATAGCTCCAAGAATGTTCCCAAGTCACTCTCTCTCTAGGGTTCGTCCCTTGGGTGTTTGGGAACCAAAAACCCAGCTCTCCCCTTTCCTTTGGCTGAAAATCGAGTTTTAAACAGAAATTCCCGATCACTCGGCCAGGCCACACGGCCGTGTGGCTTTCCCAGCTGCCCGTGTGAAGGCTCGGTGATTTCCACACGATCACGACCCACACGGCCGTGTGGAATTCCAGGATGCCCGTGTGGCTTGCTCAGCCTCTGTTTAATGCTTCGTTTCTCCCTTGTCCGGACTCTGAATCAGTCCCCGTTTGATCCCAGACGCTCGTAGTCTCGTCCTCTTTCTTTTCATGACAAGCTTTCATGATTCTTTGTCCATAAAGTGAGGTAGAAATCCATTCTTCTTCAAGTCATGCCCGAGTTTCTTCTCCCGAATCGTCAATTGATCTCTGATTGATTTGAAACTTGCGCCTATGCTTCACATTATGTGCTAGAACCTGAAATGTGAAAAAGGAACACAACCTAGCATAAAATAGGACAAAGACGCAATAATTCAAGCTCAAACAATCAAGAAACAAAGGGGAAAACATGTGCAAATACCGAGTCATCACTAAGCTGTCTCTATTACAAGTAAAACTTCCATCCGTTGAACGGTTTGCCTACTTGAGGATGTGTTTTTAAGGGCACGGATAGAGCTTCCGACCCCCCTTAATTTCATTGACCCTCCACACGAGTTGAGGAAAAGGAGTTAAAAGAAATACTCTGGCGAGGGCCAGATGTACAGAAATTGCTCTTGCTCGACTAATAAGGGTCGACCGTTCAAAAGACTGCAGTTGGAACCCCCGCTAAGTTAATGAAATGAAAAAAAGAAAAAGAAATAAAGTGAAAGTGAAAAAGGGGTTCCAACGGTGAAATGAAGTGAAAGAGCACCCCGGTACAACGAGTCCTTGGTTGTGAATGATATGAGTCCCTTTATCCATGAACTAACTGTCTTACTTCTACTTCTTCTCATGATCCTGGCTTGAGTCTAGTACTCGTATTGAGAGAGAAAGGGAACATCTTAGAAGACCAGTTGACCTCGTAAGCTGCTTTATGATCTAGAAAATCCTCTACCGACGATCGGGGTTGTTTGTTGCTATAGGGGTGTGGAGAGTTGTATTGGTTTGAGTTAGGTGTGTTTGGGGACAGGCAAACGGTTAAGTGTGGGGGAGTTTGATAGACCATTAATTACACATGTTTTTACCCCTATCCTTGAGCCATTTGAGATGTCGATTCTCGCGTTTTAGGCCGATTTCACACTAGGTTGTTCTTGTTTGTGATATTTCAGGTCCTAGTACGTGAATGAAGGTTTAGAAACGAGTTCGGGGTCGATTGGACGAAGTTTGGACGTTTGGCAAGAAGCAGAGAAGCCACACGGGCATGCCTAAAAGCCACACGGCCGTGTAGGGGACCCCTGATGGCCGTGTGGAAATTCCAGGGAACTCACACGGGCACCCTGGGAAGCCACACGGCCGTGTAGATCGTGGCCGTGTAGGAAGCCTGAAGCCACTTATCAAAACGCTGCGCTTTGCACAACTCACACGGGCAGTTGGGGATGTCACACGGCCGTGTGGCCTGGCCGTGTGAGTCGGGATTTTCAAGTTGTAAGCCAATTTTCAGCAGAGGAGAAGGGAGTTCTGATTTTTAGAGAGAGAAAGCTATTCCTAGAGAGAGAGAGAGAGCGACGAACCCGAGTTCCCAAGTGCCCTAGCTTGATCTTCATCACCATTGGATCTCGGCTTACACTTGGAAAAGTGCCGATTGACGACCAGGAGCAGATTCTCATCCTTCACAGCATGATTTCTGCATCTGAACCTGCTTTTGCTTCTATCTCCATGGAGTAGTTTTCCCATTCATCTGGGTATGGAGAACCCTAGATTTGTGTGTTAGGTCTGATTGTATGAACCCAAGTACATATTCTATGATTTGATTATATTCAATTAAGGCTTGAATGATTGAATGACTTGAATCCTGATCAAATTCCTATTATTTCTGCTTTAGCCTAGAAAGAGAATATCTGCCTAGGTTGATAGAGCACCCTTAATTGAAGGTAGTGAATTGGCGACTTTAGTCGAGGAGCCAATTCACTATTCTGTACCGAATTTACTTTGGTAGTGGAGGTTTGGTTGTTAGGGCCTCAATCTGTTTACTCCGGTGGAGGTTAGTCGCCCGTTGGGGACTCAGATTGAGAGGGTCTGGAGACCTTTAGTCGAGACTTCAGACTGCTTAAGAACCTCCCGCAGTATAACTATCATTAAAACTGAACTTGGTGAATTGCAATCCGGCTTAACTGCGGTCTAGGGGGAACCATATCCGGGTGACCTCTCTCTACTTGAAACAACCGTTTAATTGCTTTGCTTGTTTGCTTAATTGAACCTGCACTAAAGTTTCACTGCTAGATAATAAGAATTCACTGAGTAGTCATCACATCTAGGACCCGGGTTGACAATAAAACCCAAACCCGCTATACTACGCTCTAGGAAGTGGTTACACTTGGCCATTTTCTAGGGTGACAGTAGGAGTGAGTTAGTGCGCTGTGGTGATTTCAATCTGATTCAACATTATACGGAGAAGAAGGGTAAACACCAGCAAGTGGGTACGAGATGGAAGGTTTTAATATAGCCTTGGAGGACTGTATGTTGGAAGATTTAGGTTTCTATGAGAAACCTTTTATGTGGGATAATAACCACAAAGATTAACATATCTTAAAGAACGTCTTGACAGAATGGTATCCACAAAAGAATGGAATTTCCCCTTAAGTGGGGAGATGTGGTTCTGACCATAACCCCATTATGCTAAAAACAAATGTACTAGTCGAGGATATTAAAGGGGCAGGACTCAGATTTGAAGCATATTTGCAAGATCATGAGGATTGTAAGTAGTTTATAAAGGAGGGATGGGAAGGTAATGGAGTTGGCTCAGTAATGGAGAGAATTAGAGCATGTGAACATAGGCTGAAAAACTGGAGCAAGCAAACTTTCGAATATCCCACCTGCTGTTTGCGGATGATAGCATCCTTTTTACTAGAGCAAATAGGGTGGAGTGTGAGAAAATAATAGAGATCCTAAACCTATATGAAGCAGAATCGGGTCAGCAAGTAAACCTACAAAAATATGAACTGTCTTTTAGCCCTAATATAAGACAGGAGAAGAGAAGGGAGCTGACATGTATTCTAAACATGAGGTGTGTGGATCACCATGAGAAATAATTGGGTTTGCCTACTAAAATTGGATGATCAAAGAAGCGGGTTTTTGGTTACCTAGTGGACAGAGTGCACTCTAAAGTTAAAATGTGGAAAGGAAACTATTTTCTGTGGCAGGGAAACAGGTGCTGATCAAATCAGTAGCACAGGCTCAGATGACATTTGCCATGTCAGTTTTCCAAATACCAGCAAATACACTAAGGGAGGTCAAACGAGATATTACCAGCTATTGGTGGGGACAACAACAAAAAGAATCCAGAAATCATTGGTTAAGCTTGAAAGAGTTGTGTAAACCAAGGAAGCTGGGTGGCCTGGGATTTAGAAATCTACAGAGTTTCAATCTGGCCTTATTGGGTAAGAAAATATGGCGAATCATCAAGAACCCCGAGATGTTGGTTGCAAGGGTTTTAAAGGCAAACTATTTCCAGGATAGAGACTAACTTGATGCTAAGGTGGGGAGAAATCCTAGCTGGATATGGAGGGGCTTAATGGCAATAAAGGATCTGGTTAGGCGAGGGATGAAGCGGAGGTTGGGAAATGGCCATAAGATTGACATCAGGATTGGTAAGTGGGTTCCTTTGAGTGCTACCCTGAAGGTAACCACCCCAGTCTCAATCATTGGAACCTCTACTTCTATGGGGGAGCTGATCGACCATGAAACAAGGAGTTGGCAAAGTAATTTACTCCAGGCTCATTTCAATCCAACTAACAGACACAACATTCAGTGAATTTTGATTCCTAGAGAGCCTATCGAGAACGAGAGAATTTGGAGCAAGGAGAAGTCAGGGTAGTATACTGTCAAGTCGAGTTATCGAATTTGGGAAACCAGGAATGAAGAAATGGAGGGGGAATTCTACTCGTCGGTGAATTGGAAGAAGGTGTGGGGTTTAAATATTTCACCAAAGGTTAAACTATTTGCGTGGCGATGATTACGAAATATACTTCCTACGGCAGCTTGGATCCTAGAGAGGACTCAAAAGGGCACAGAGGGTTGTCCTCTCTGTTATCTAAAGGAAATGCAAGAACACATTCTCAGGGAGTGTGGCTGGGTTCAGAGGGTATGCAGGAACAGCCCGATGGAAGTTCTAGTTGAACATGGAGAGAATCTTACCTCTAAAGTATGGTTTTGTGAGCTTCAGGAGACAGTATCGGAGGAGACACTTGGAGTCTTTTGGGTGTCGCTCTGGTACATCTGCGATCAACGAAATAGTCAAATGTGGAATAAACGAAAGCTGGAAGAATGGAAAATTTTGCCAAGGGCTAGGGATTGGTTGGCGGATTACTTGGAGAAACAAGCTCGAGTGGACCGACCAGCAATGGAGGTGGATAACCGGTGGCAACCACCAAAAATGGCTCCTCTGAAAGTAAATGTTGATGCCGCTTGCATGTCAAATCGATGAACTGGATGGGGTGTGGTGTGTTGAGACAGGGATGGGCGTTTTGTGTTTGCTGTCGTACGTCGTTCGAGAGTGCAGTGGGAAACGGAGGTGGCGGAAGCCATGGAGATTGGATTTGGTCTGGATTTGGCGAAGAGATGT